TTTCCGCACAATGCACTCCTCTCTCCAGACAAAATCTAGGCTTCACTGGGAATTGTGGATGCTTAACACCTCTGAAAACCAGGCCACTTTTATTAAAGTGACTGTGGTCCAGCTCCAACTGAAGCCAGAAAGAGTCTTCTCATTGATTTCAATGGGAGCTGGATCAGGCTACACATATACAATTTCTCTCTCTCTCTCTCTCTCTCTGTATGTATGTATAAACTTAAAATTTTGGCTCTCTTTTTTTTAAAATCTTCTCTACGGATGTAGAATGTATTGTTCGTGGCTTATTTTTGCAGTTTTAAAATCTATTATACAATGTTTTATATTAAATCATTCTAAAGCTATAACAAACTTGACTAAAGCAAAATGTATGAAGATATAGAGATGCAGCAGTGATGCTGTTTGCACAGATAGGAATTTTGATTTCCAGACTGTAAAAATTCTCTTCAGGTTGACGACTGGCACAGAAAATCTGATGTGAAGATCAGAAAATTGGCTGGAGCAAGGGTTGAAATGGGTAATGGGATTATGGTGATTCTGCATTTTCTGCTCACACCAAATTACAAAGCATAAAGCAAAAACTAATATATATTAATACTGAAAGCCATCTTTCCTCACAAATGTCATTCAGACATATTTAAAAATTCTAATATCATGGTAACTAAGTATATTTAGTCTTGGAAAAGTGAATTTAAAAGATATATAATTAATTTAAAGAAATCTTGGCTTTCCAATGACATTCTAGTGATTAAATTCTGAAATGGTTTCCTGTGTTGGATTTCCATTAAAGTCAATGGGAAATCTTCCCCTAGACCACTTGCAGGTCTGGGGCTCATATTTTTACCTGTCCCTGGCAGGTCACATGATATCTTGATAAATAGGAAAGGTATTTTAGAGTTTTTGGACTTTGAAAAAATTAAGCCTCCAAGCCCACAGAGAAATGCTTATCTTTATGCAGGTGAATAGTTCCATTGATGTCAAATGACAGAAGCAGAAGTCACTGGGACTGTTCATGCACATAAAGCCAAGCACGTATGTAAGTGTTTGCAGAAACGGAGCCTTATTCTAATATTTCAGCCACTGTGAAATCTGTCTATGGTAACTAAAGTAATCTTACTGCAGAGGCAGAGGGATGCAAAAAAAAAAAAAAAAAAATTGCAACCAGGAAATATTGTAAAGCTTTAAATGACAATCCAATATCTTTTTATTTTTATTTAAAATGTGCATGTGGGGAAATGAACAATGTTGTTTGGTGTTAAAAATGGTTTTAGATGATCTACAATCACTCACTTGTGGCTTCTGCCCGGATAAACAATATATTCAAACAACTAGTTACCATATGAACAGATAAATTATTCCAGTAGCCCCTGGATTTCATGTAATCCTCTTTATCCTGAATTCCCCTTTTACCAGCCTTCGGTATGGATATGTTATATTCCTTTATTGTGATTTTGCCTTATCTGCCCTTGTAGTACAATACAGGATAGTGAGCAGGTATTGCAAACTCATGCCAAAAAAACTGTTTACCACCACACATCACCATGTACAGTAAACACGCGCGCTCTCTCTCTCTCTCTGTCACACACACAGAGTTTTTTATAATTCTGTATTTCAAAGTGCAGTATGTCATTACTTTAATACCATGTATTATTTCTTTTTCCTCACAATTGCATATATTTTTAGACTTAGGTGCCCTATTTTAGGCACCCAAATCCATATTTGGGGACATATAAAAGTAGTCTGATTTTCAGAGGTGGTGGGATGCAGTTCCTAATGATAGTCATAGTGTTTGATGATATAGTATTTCATTACAGAGGACAGCGTCACATAAGTGTGTGTGGAAGGGGATTTTCCTTCTGCACTTAGATTTTCTTGCTATCAGTGTAGAGAGAGAACCCCCTTTAGTGGCTCTATATACCTATATGTTTGTTTATTTATTTAGATACATGTACTATGGTCCCAATTTAGGAAAGCATACCTATACAGGACAGCACTGAGCATAAGCTGAAATGCTGTACTACACAGGGATGGATTTAAGCATATGCTCAAGTGTTTTCCTGAATCAGGGCCTATAAAAAGAGCACCCACCATCCATCTGCTCTAAGACCCTATGATAAATGAAGTATGTGTGTGTGTGTGGGGGGGACGGGACGGGGGACGACTCCCTTTTATGGACACCCCGCAAGCCAGTTAGCTACAAAATCCTTGTTAGTAGCTGTTCTCTACTTGTTTTACCTGTAAAGGGTTAAAAAAAGCCCATAGGTAAAAGGAAGGGAGTGGGCACCTGACCAAAAGAGCCAATGGGAAGGCTAGAACTTTTTAAAATTGGGAAAAAGCTTTCCCTTTGTCTCTCTGTCTGTTGTTCTCCGGAGGGAGGAGACACAGAGCAGCAATGCTGTAAGAAGCTTTAAACCAGGTATGAAAAATCATCAAATCATACCTCGAAACTACTTATCTGAAACCCAGATATGTAAGTAGATCAGGGAATGTCTAGGAAGACATGATTAGGTTTATCTCTTATTTCTTTATGGCTTGTGGACTCCTCTGTGCTAACGCCAGGGGCGTTTGTTTTGCTTGTAACCTTTAAGCTGGACCTCAAAAAAACCATTCTTGATGCTTAATTATTATATTTGCTCTTTTTAAATCTAGCAATAGCCTAAGTTCCAGATGTATTTTCTTTCTTTTTTGTTTTTAATAAAATTTACCTTTTTTTAAGAACAGGATTGAGTTTTTTGTGTCCTAAGAGGTTTGTGCATATGTTGTTTAATTAGCTGGTGGCAACAGCTGATTTCCTTTGTTTTCTTTCACAGCTTTTCCCGGAGGGAGTGGGGGAGGGGAGTTAAAAGGGCTTGAGGGTACCCCACAGGGAGGAATTCCCAAGTGCGCCTTCCTAGGTCCAAGGGTTTTTTTTACACTTGGGTGGTGGCAGCAGCCACCCATCCAAGATCAGAGAGAAGCTGTAACCTTGGGAGTTTAATACCAGCTTGGAGTGGCCAGTATTAATTTTTAGAATCCTTGCTGGCCCCCACCTTCTGCAATCAAAGTGCTAGAGTGGGGAATCAGCCTTGACAGACCCCTTGAGATAACATAAAATACAAAAAAAAATGCACTCCATTATAACTAGACTGCAGTAATTCCAGCCCTTATAAGCATCCCCAACTAGCAAACCAGGCAAATTAACAGTTGATATTACCTTTCCTCTTCAACAGTAAATCACCCTCACAAGTCTCCCCTGCCCATTTCAAATGTTCAGGGGGAAAAAAGATGAGCTCTGCAACATGTCTTAAAGGTCATCAGATTCAGCCTATCCTGGAGCAAGGTGGGGAGTAAGTTCTAATGCAGAGGGGTCCTAATTCAATCGGATTCCAGTTCTAGTGCTTCTGCTTATCTCAATTGCAGCTCTGTACCATGGTGAGAGAAGAGATCTCTTGGACAGATCAATTAGTGTATGTCTACACAGCACACTAAGCCTCGGCTGAGACTCAGGTTAGAGCCCAAGTTCAAACCCCCCTTCCGTCCACATAGAAATTAGTCTGATGACATATTTAGTCCAATAGACTAATTTTTTAATCATTGGAAGGAGTTATTCATGTTTCTTGGTGACATATTTAAACCAAATCATTCTGCCATGTGGAACACCCAAGGCTACATATAAAATTAGTTAAGTGGACAAGAATTGCAAGCTTCCACAGTGAAGTAGCATCTGAGCTGACTTCACAGAAATAAGGGCAAATAGTAGGGCAGAAGTACTGCTAGAAATAAAGTGTTAAAAAGTGGCTAAAATGAACAAGCTAAAATTTGTAATTTAATTACAAACACTGTACTTTTTGAATTCACTTAAATGGTTGCAATCTGTGGGATGGGAATGAGTTAGGCGCCTGACTCACTCCACACAAAATGATGACAGGAGGACGACGAGGTGGCCTATTTAAGTATTTATCCACAGTGGAACAGCCATTGGGCGAGAGAGTGATTCTGCAGTCCAGTGGTTAGGGCATCCACCTGGGACGCTGGAGACCCGGGGTCCAGTTCCCCCGCTCCAATCACTCTTTCATTATTTATCCACAATGGAACAGCTTCAATTGGAGAGATAGAGGGAGCCCCAACATCAGAAAATCCCATAGCTTAATTGCTAGACCACTTTTCTAATAGGTGGGAGACTCCTGTTCAAAACCTCTCTCTCCATCTAGAAGAGGGGAGAATTGAACCTGGGCCTCCCATAGCCACAGTGGAGCCGAAACTGGGATGTAGGCACCTAAAGGCACCATAGGATGAGAGAAATTAGGTGCCTAAATCTGGGGTTTAGGCAACTAAGTACCTTTGTGGTTCTGAGTTTAAGTGCTTGGCTGAATTATTGCCTTTGTGCTCTTTACACAGGAAACAGAACAAACTGAAGGAGAGGTTAGACGACTGACAAATACGTAATAGGCAATGTGTATTTGTTGCCTTACTTAAATGGGATGACATAAAGCAATGAAATTTCATTCTTGAGTGTGAATGTTATTTTTCTTGTCACATTTGTGAAGTATCCAGGTCATGAGTATTATGGATTTTCAGATATGCCATAGGAATCTGTGGTGTCCTGTGCTCTAAGCAATCCAAAGCAATGTAAATGATTTCCCTTTCCACAATAGTTAATCAAGCAGTGACTCAACCAGAATGTTGATATCAAGAGCCAACATGGGGTCATTCCATTTTTCTTCATTATGTCTTTGTTATCAAGAGAAGAGTGATTGCCATATACTGCTATAATTTATCCTTCAGCTACTTTACGTATGTTTAATTTTTAACTCTCATTAGATGATTTTTACAATTATTCAAAGTGACAAACCTAAGTAAAATTAAAACAGAAGTATGAAGGCCTGATTTGGATCTCATTAGGTAAACCACGAGTTAACGCCATTGAAGTTACTGGTATTATAACATTACAAGATCAGGCCATAAGACTGTACATACAGTATTTTCAATTTAAAGTTGAGTAGACAAGTATCTCTTACCTTTATCATAGATTTCCTTCAAGACTCCTCGTTTTATCAGCTCCTCTCTGCTTTGCCTCATTGATATTTTTCTTTCCAGAGCTACAATGTAAGGACAAAAGTACGATTAAATACAAAAATAAACGCCAAGGCAATTTTGAAAGGTCATGTGCCTTTTATAGCATTTATTTTTACTCTCTGGGCCAAATCTTTGTCCCATTGAAGTCAATGAGAAAAGTCCCATTAGTCTCTGAAAACCAAGAGAGCCACAACTCTGTAGATTTTCGCTTGTTGTTGTAACATTACTGTTGATACAAATGGATACAGACTGATTTATTGAGGTGCACTTCTGTACTCTCACTGCTTCTTCAAACACATGAGCCAAGTGTTTTGGGGAGAATTAGAAAGGATGAGGAGAATGGGGTATAATTCACGTGGGGGGGGGGGGAGAGGGAGGGAAGATGAAAGAGATTTGAAGGAGCACTGTCAGTGTATGGCATTTGGCTGTGAAACCTTCCCATACCAGATCAGGATGAGCTCATGCCTTACCTCCTATAAAGGGCCTGAACCTGCACCTTTGAAGACAATGGGAATTTTGTCATTAACTTCAGCGGGAATAAATTCAGACCCTTAGGGCACAATGCAAGACACATCTGAAGAGGCCTTTCCTCAAAGGAGGCAGTGACATTTATGCTGGCAAGTCCCCTTCCTCCTATAGATTTCTTCCCAAAGAAAGGAGTCCTGTGAAATACACCCCTCATGAATCAGAGGGGTAGCAGTGTTAGACTGTATCCACAAAAACAACGAGAAGTTCGGTGGCATCTTAAAGACTAACAGATTGATTTGGGCATAAGCTTTCATGGGTAAAAAACGCACTTCTTCAGCTGCATGGAGTGAAAATTACAGATGCAGGCATAAATATACTGACACATGAAGAGAAGGGAGTTACACATGAAGGGGGTGTGGAGAATATGCTATGTTCAGGATGACAGAGAGCCATGTCCTCATCTGGTGTAAGTCAGAGAACTTCCGTTAAGTCAATAAAGCTCCCCTTATCTACACCAGCTAAGGTTCTGCCCAAACACGTTATCATTCTTATTTTGGTGCCTAGATACCATGGTGATCAGGGCACCAGAAAGACAGATAGAATTATGCTGTTTGATTAGTTCAACAGCAATTTTAAAGCAATGTCTAGTTAACCAAAACATCAAAAAGTAATTGGCCTTATCTGTCCATTCAGGCATGTATCGGAGAGTGAGCAAGGGGTGCATAAAATGATGCATAGGGTTTGCTGAGATTTTGTGTGCTCTGTGAGAAACCAAGGCGTAGCTTGCCAAAAAGGAAGCACAGTCAAGGGCAAATCCCTAGTGCCATATGCTCTCCTGTCAGCTGCAGCACACAAAAAATGAACCAGGAGGAAGCAACTTCAAGCTGCACAAGACAGATTTAAAGCGAAAGAGGCCCTGAAATGACTTTTTCCTCCCCTCCAAACAAGAGATCATAACCACTGGTTGTGCTGCTGCAAGTTCTCTGTTCCTCAAGTCAGGAGACACTGAGTACCTGGAGGATGGGGGAGATTTATATTGACATCATGCAACTTGTTTCCTATTAGATATATACTGTGTGATGATCAGTTTTAAGATACTAAGGCCAGGGCCCTGGTGTCTATTATAACTCTGCTTATAAAAGGTATTGTGTCTGATGGAAGTAATTAGATTTTTAGATTTGATTATATATTTCTAAAGATAAAAAAATAAAAACAAGTAGTCAACATCTAATGTTTCACAAAAAGCAATATATGAACAGTTGTATATATTAAATACACTTGCATTTCCTCACACACTGAAATCCTAGAATGATCATCATATCATCTTGAACATGTCCAATTGACCTCTAACGTCAATTAGCGCTTAAGGGCTGTTCTCCATACCGGAATAGAAGGGTTCAGACCCAATGCCCAATCATCTTCTATAGTATTATGTTTATATGTATGTTCCAGATGATATTATCTTCTGCTTTGATCACCCTCTACATTTAACATAACAAATCTCTTACAAGAGACCTAATAGCTATACAATATGGATAACATTTTCAAAAGTGACTTCGATATTTAGGAGCCTACCTCCCACTGACTTTCAGTGAGATTTAGACTCTTAAGTACCCAAGACACTTTTGAAATGAGCCTTAGGGTACATCTACACTTCGAGCTGGAGGAATAAATTTCAGCTCAAGGAGACATACCAGTGCTAGCTCTGATCAAACTAGCATGCTAAAAATAGAATATAGCCGTGGAAAGAGGGGCTAGCCACCTTGAGTACATGCGCAGCATCTTTGACTGGTATGTTCTCAGGACAGCAAGTCACTCGGCCACTGCTTGCGCTGTTGTGGCTCTCTATTTTTGGTGCACTAACTTGATCAGAGTTAGCGAGAGTGTGTCTCCTCGAGCTGGAATTTACGTTTGCAGCTCAAAGTGTAAACATACCCTTAGTCACTTTGGCTCTTTTGAAAATTTTACACTTCGTGCATTTTGCTGAGTATTGGGTCTAAATAAGCTGTAACACACATCTTGCTATCAAGGGCTTTGCATTTTTGAAAGCCTGGTTATTTGTCTTGATTATCTGACAAGACAGTGAACAGTAAATGAAGCCCAAATAGACCAACAAGCACCAGAAAATGATTACACAGGCTAAAAAAGTAATTCAATAGATCCCATAGGAAGCATCAAGAAGCCAAAATAACAGTTCAACAGGTTCTCTAATGATGAACTGTTATTAACTACCAGAACAATAAAAACAGCAAACTGAACTTTGTAAGATACATGAAGCATGGAGAGGCTTCCCAGCTGCTAGAAGAGAGGAACTGAGGGACAGTTGGATCTTTTATCCCCTTGGGGTGATAGGCAGTTTTGCGATTGACTTCAATGGGCCCAGGAGTTCACCCTTGGACTCTAAGGAGGGTAGGGTGACCAGATGGCAAATGTGAAAAATTAGGACGGGGATGGGGGGGTTATCAGTGCCTAAAAGCCCCAAATATCTGGATTGTCCCTATAAAATTGGGACATCTGGTCACCCTAAAGGAGGGTAATGAGCACAACTCCTACAGATTTTCATCACTAGCAGAAGTTCCATTGCTTATGAGTAAGGCTAGATTTTAGTCACGGGTATTTTTAGTAAAAGTCATGGACAGGTCACGGGCCATGAATTTTTGTTTACTCCCCGTGACCTGTCCATGACTTTTACTATATACCCCTGACTAAAACTTGGGAGCTTGGGGGAGAAGCCCTGGGGATGCTGGGGGGTGCCGTGGGTACTTGGGGGATCACGCCCTAGGGGGGCACTGCGGGTATGCAGGGGGTTGGGTGGGGGGGCTGGAGCAGGTTCCCTACCTGGTTCCTGGGAAGCGGTGACCTCCAGCTCCTAGCTCCATGTGCTGCCTCCGCTCCGCCCCAAGCCCTGGTTCTGCAGCTCCCACTGGCTGGGAACCGTGGCCAATGGGAAGTGCAGGGGCAGTGCCTGTGGGTGGAGGCAGCAACTGGAGCTAGGAGCTGACGGAGGGGCGTTCCTATGACCCTTCCGGGGAGCCCTTCCCCCAGGTAAGCACCACCCCGCACCCCAATCCCTAGCTCTGAGCTCCCCCCCCACCCAAACTCCTGCTGCTGGAGGGGCGGGGAGGGGGGGCGCGAGACTGCCCCAGCAGCAACTGGTGCAGCTGGCCATGGGGCTGCCCGAACTGCTTAGGCGGCTTCCGGGCCAGTCGCACAGGCTGCTGCAGAAGTCACGGAAAGTCACAGAATCCGTGACTTCTGTGACAAACACGGAGCCTTACTTATGAGCACAGGTCTATGACTCCATACAGTTTGCATTTGCAAAGGCAACAAATTCTGATAACCCCAGCTACCTGGAAATAACCTCAGACTTTCCATATCTGGAAATTCCTCACTCGCTGAAACTACACCCAGAAGTTGCTGCTCAAACTAGACCAAATCTTGCAATCCTCTTTAGGGTAAATTCCCACTGGTTTCAGTGGGAGTCTGCCTGAGTAAATGCTTCAAGATCTGGCCATTTTATATTTCCTTGGATTAGATGGGATTTTATGCTGCCCTGTTTTGGCATTGCTTTTAAAGCTTTGTTCTTTTTAAACAGCACAGTAAGGTCCTGAGCCTGCCCACATTGAACTAAATGATAAAGCTCTGACTGACTTCAGTTGTGCAGGACCTGGCCTTAAGTAAACAGGAAAAACTTGACCCTGTTGAACTGTTTTTTCAACAACTCTGAGAAAAATCTCTCATTTCCCATTCATTCAAACAGTGAAGTGCATTCACTCTGCCTAATGGTACCTCCCTCCTCCAGGGGGGAGGGATAGCTCAGTGGTTTGAGCATTGGCCTGCTTAAACCCAGGATTGTGAGTTCAATCCTTGAGAAGCGCCACTTAGGGATCTGGGGCAAAATTAGTATTTGGTCCTGCTAGTGAAGGCAGGGGGGCTGGACTCGATGACCTTTCGGGATCCCTTCCAGCTCTATGAGATAGGTATATCTCTCTACAGGAAACCAAGTTGGAAGAAATATCACCAAAATAACAACACCTGCTTACAGGCAGCAACACTGTTCACTGAATGGAGATACTGAGAGTGTCAAGTATTGCTAAAAGATATTTTGAAAATTAATATACTAAACTGTACCTTAGGCAGCTAGATAACCAATGCATATTTTATCTATATACACATGTATACACACAGGAATATGTGTGTGTGCGCACATGCACAGTACATACTTGTGCATATGGACCAAATTATTCTCTCTCTCTCTCACACACACACACACACATTCCTATTTAGTCCACTCCTATATAGTTCACTATGTAAGGTATTACAAGTAGCATTTCTTTTATAGTCAGGACGAAGCATAAGTGAAGAGCTTCAGCCCACACCATTCTACACCCTGCAGAAGCAAAACCAGTGGTAGGAATAAGCTAATTTCATGGAGAGAAGTCAACATTTCAGAGAGGCAGACATTACGTTTTAGTCAGACAGTCCTAATTGGAAAGACAAGAAGTAGTGAAAAAAAAAAATCACAGTAGACAGAGTCCCCTCTTCAAAATAATTG